TTTTGTTTTATAGTTCAAACTAAAAACTAAAGCTCCCATTAACAACCCAAACAAAACATCATCACCAAACAAAGCTAAGTCCCAACACAAACACAGTCAAACACAAAGAAAACATTAAAGATAAGAGCAAACAAAAACAAGTTCTTGAAAAAAAATAAAACACCATCATAAAACCAAATCTTTAGAAACAACCACCACCACGAAGACGGAGCACAAGGTGGAGGGTCGACTCATTCTATATATTGTAATCCGCGAGGGTCCTCCCATCCTCGAGCTATTTTCCGGCAAATATCAGCCTCTGCTGATCTCGCGGAATTCCCTCTTTATCTTGAATCTTCGCCTTCACATTGTCGATCGTGTCCGAGCTTTCCACTTCCAGGGTGATTGTCTTACGGGTCAAAGTCTTCACGAAAATCTGCATCCCACCCCTCAAATGCAAGACGAGATGGAGGGTAGACTCCTTTTGGATGTTGTAATCAGCTAAGGTCCTCCTATCTCCAGCTGTTTCCCAGCAAATATCAACCTCTGCTGGTCGGGTGGGATGCCCTCCTTGTCCTGAATCTTAAGCCTTGACATTATCATTTGTATCCGAGCTTTTGACTTACAACGTGATAGTTTTGCCAGTAAGGGTCTTCACGAAGATTTGCATTCCACCCTTAGACGCAAGACCAAGTGAAGGGTCGACTCCTTTTGGATGTTATAATCTGCTAGAGTACGACCATCCTCCAGCTGTTTTCCGGCAAATATCACCCTCTGCTGGTCCGGTGGGATTTCTTCCTTGTCCTGGATTTTTGCCTTCATGTTGTCGATGGTGTCCGAGCTCTCGACTTCCAAAGTAATGGTTTTCTCCGTAAGGGTCTTCACAAATATATGCATTCCAGCACGGAGCCTGAGGACGAGGTGAAGTGTAGACTCTTTCTGGATGTTGTAGTCCGCAAGAGTACGACCGTCATCAAGCTGTTTGCCAGCAAAGATCAATCTTTGCTGGTCAGGCGGGATACCTTCCTTGTCCTGGATCTTAGCCTTTACATTGTCAATGGTGTCCGAGCTCTCCACCTCAAGGGTTATTGTTTTTCCAGTGAGGGTCTTGACGAAGATTTGCATCCCCCCACGGAGCCTGAGAACAAGATGGAGGGTGGACTCCTTCTGGATGTTGTAGTCCGCTAAGGTCCTGCCATTCTCGAGCTTCTCTCCTGCAAAGATCAGGCGCTACTGGTCCGTGGGAATACCCTCATTGTCCTGAATCTTGGCTTTGACGTTGTCAATCGTGTTGGAACCCTCGACTTCCAGGGTGATTGTCTTCCCGGTTAGAGTCTTCACAAAAATCTGCATGCCACCCCTCAAACGCAACATGAGGTGGAGGGTGGACTCCTTCTGGATGTTGTAGTCGGCTATGGTCCTGCCATCCTCGAGCTGCTTTCCGGCAAAGATCAATCTTTGCTGGTCTGGAGGAATTCCTTCTTTGCCTTGAATCTTGGCCTTGTCGTTGTCAATGGTGTCAGAACTCTCCACCTCGAGAGTAATGGTCTTGCCGGTTAGGGTCTTCACAAAGATCTGCATCTTGAACTGAAATTGTTTGATGAGCCGAAACTCATAAGCTTTTAAAGAACTTAAGATTGGATCGATTGATAGGAAAAATAGAGCGGTTTGATTTTCTGTAGTTGCAAGAATAGTTTTCTTTAGTTGCAAGGTTAGTAGTATCTAGTTGCAAGTTAATTGTATGTAGTTGCAATGTTATTTTGTCTGCAGTTACAAGGTTAGTTGTTTGTTGGTGCTAGTTTATTTGTCTGTAGTTGCTAATATAGTTGTCTGTCATTGCTAATATAGTTGTCTGTAGTTGCAAGGTTAGTTCTATCTTGTTGCAAGGTTAGTTATTTCTAGTTGCAAGGTTAGTTCTGTATAGTTGCAATGTTAGTTTTCACTAGTTGCAATGTTAGTTGTCTGTAGTTGCAAAGTTAGTTTTTTATTGTTACATGGCTATTTTTGGTTGTTGCTTGGTTAGTTCTATGTAGTAGCAATGTTAGTTGTCTGCAGTTGCAAGGTTAGTTCTATCTAGGTTGTAAGGTCAGTTTTATGTAGTTGCAAGGTTAGTTGTCTATAGTTGCAAGGTTAGTTATCTTTTGTTGCAAGGTTAGTTCTATCTAGTTGCATATTTACTTCTTTTATTATGCATGTTTAGTTTATTTTTCGTCCATAACTTCTTATAATTGTTCACTCTATTTAACTTTTTTTTTTTAAATAATCAGGGTTATAAATCCAAGCTTCTTAGGAAGGTTATGTGTTTGGCTAATGATGTGGTTGATGTTTTAACCTTGCTTGAAGATGCCCCCATGAAGTGACAGATGATTTAAATTATAAGAGGATACAAGAAGCAACAGAAAATCTTATTTCTTTCAGTCCTGATGTACTTCAATCTTCTCAGAAGACATATTCTTTTCAAGATAGTGAAGAAACAACTGCTTTCTGGAATGATTTAGAAACAATTGCAGCTATTGAGGAGATTGAGCGTGCGATTGGAAAGAGGGCTGCATATAAAAAGAAGATGGATGAAGGTCCCAGTTTTTCATTGGGATTGGGGTTGTCCTCCCAGTCCCAAGAAAGTAAAAAAGGTTGGGATGACATTCTAAATATTTCAAAGCAATTTTCAACTGATAACGGAGCTGCTGATGATGGTTCTATCCCCCAAACATCTGGTGAGACAGTGAAAGAGGTTGAAAGAGAGAAAAATAAAGAGACAAAGATCAGAGAGAGAGAGGGAAAGTGAAGAAAGAGATGGAGAAGACTAAAAGAAAGAGAGGACAAAGAAAGACAAGAGAAATAGAGAGAGGATAGAGAGAGAGAGAGAGTTAGAGAGACAAAGGTAACAAAAACATAGAAAAAGATTGGAAAAAGAGAAGGAGAAAGAGAGAGAGAGAGAGAGAATTGAAAAAGAAAAAGAGATTGAGAGAGAGAACCAACAGAAAGAAAGAGAGAGAGAGAGAGAGGTTAGAGAAAGAGAAAGAGAGTGAGATGCTTGAAAAAGAAAAAGAGACAGAGAAAGAGAGAGAGAAGCAGTAGAAGGAGAAAAAGAAAGAGAGAGAGAAGCAGGAGAAAGAAAAAGAGATAGAGAATTGAAAAAGAGAAAGAGATTGAGAGAGAGAACCAACAGAAAGAGAGAGAGAGAGGTTGGAGAAAGAGAAGCAGGAGAAGGAGAAAGGGAGAGTGAGACTTGAAAAAGAGAAAGAGAAAGAGAGAGAAGCAGGAGAAAGAGAGGGAACAAATATAGAGAGAGGGTTAAAAAGGAGATAAAGATAGAGAGAGAGAGAG